CTGCAAATTCTTTATGGGGTCAGACCCTAAAACAGTCTTTCACTGTGTTACAATTTTTTTTGGTACCGAAAACGTATGTTGACAGATATTAACAAGAAGATGAAAATTCCTCGAAGGAACAGCGTGACACACTCGCACTGCTCACGCTTGCCAACGAGAGACCCAGCTTTCTAGCAGAACCTAAGCAAGTTGCACCTACCTAAGTTTACCGCAAAGGTAAAAGAAAAGACTTTTTTTATGAAAGCGGTTGCAAACGGCTCACTTGCCCATATGAGGAAGCAGTCAGCGAAGAATTACTTCACTATTGAAGAATGAACAAAAGTTGTGAATAAGAGAAACGGCATGCATCAAAATTAAAGGACTTCCCTGCAGTTTTTAATTTGTGACAAAATAATCTGCAAGCTCAAGGCCTATTTTAGGCATGTAGTAGTGTTGAGGTGAAGCTTTGCAGAGCAGATCAACCTTTGGCGAATAAAAAGCAGCAGCTGGGGAGGCAGGAATCTGCCTCACCTTTCAGACGATGAGCTTCAAAGGCTTCTCACCACAGGCTCTTGCAGTAATAATTCCTCTTGTCTAAAAGATCAAGAAAGGAAAACGTAACACTGAAAGTACAGATATAAGTATATGGAAATTGGTGATAAGGAATAAAAGATGCACAGAAGGGGTATTTTCTAAAGCCTGTTAGTCAATAAGAAAAACTACTTTGGTTATGTATTGTATACTATTTAATTTGTTTGCTTTTTATTGATGTGTGGCTATGTTTGGTGTCCAGTGCAACTAATTCTAATGATGTCAAGGCAGCTCCTTCTATACTTTGCACTAAGTATGTGCTTAGAGTGTGTTGCCAGATCAGAAGATTTGAATACCCGCTAATCTGAATAATTGATTTTTTGTCTTCTTTTTTCTCTGCTTAAATCTTGTGAAATTCGACTATTATCACTTTCAATATACTGAGTAATTGCCCTTTTTTCATACTTAGCAGTAGCAGTAATGCTGCTTGCTTTTGTAAGCTGAAGTAACTGCTTTCATCCCTGGACTACAGGTGCAGCCTATTGCTCCCTCTGTAACTGCTGCCATTTTTGTAAATATGATCTCAGCACCAAAAAAGTGAGTTATGGATGAGGTTAAAAAAGCAAGTTATGGATGAGACTGACCGTTTCTGCTACTCAGGCAGGCTTAAATCACAAGACACTGTTTTCCAGAAGCCCAGCATCTCTGCAGCCATCCCTCCAATTGCAGCAGCACCCAGAAGCTCTGACCCAGCTGAGACTCCCCGGGGTAAAAGAAGAGCACGTATAGAACGAGGAGCAAAACTTGTGCCAGGGACCGTCGTGCCGAGGCACAGGGGAAAGGATGTGTGACGGGAAAGGTGGTCTGGAGAGAGGAAATGACATGACTAGCAACCAGGGAGAAGTCTGTGTCAGACATCTGTGGGTCCACAGGATCCAGCTTTTCTGACCCTGTTCTGTGTCCGTAAACAAACAAAAAAGAATTTAAGCTATTTGGACTAATTCTGATCTTATTCTTTTTGTCACCACAGGGTGTCTCTGCATCTCTTCCTACACCGAAAGGCTTTGGCAGCCTTGAAAGACAAGCTGCAATCCCTTTCAAGGGAATGGAGGGCTAAAGGAAAACGTTCCCCAGCTCAGCCGTGGATTTTCTCCAATTCGTGAGCCTCCTTGCATTGGAGTGGTGATGCCTCCAGCAGCTGGTGGGAATCTCTTCTTTGGCAAGTAAGGCCACAGTCCAATGATGTGTTCAGTGGGGGTTTAAGCGCTGCCCGCTACCAGATGTGGGAAAGCTGTGGCCACATGATGCAAGGCAGGGCTCTCGCATGAGCTCGCTCGGCTGCTGCGCTGTGTTCCCCGTGGTGGAAGCACTCCCCCTGTGCTGACGCGCTCCCTGCCCGCGCGGGCGCTCTCCCTGTCCCCTTTTAACTTCATGCTTATGCAGGAATCTTCTGTCCTCCTTCAGTCAGGATAAAACTGGCATAAAGTCAGCATAAACACTGTATTGTATGCGCTGGCTAATTTGACAGAAATACAGCTGTGTGCTTCTACCAAGCGTAGATGGAGCTAGTTCCACTATTATTAAGGACAGAGCAGTACAGGAATTGAAAAACACTTGAAATCCATGAACTTGGCTGCGAAGAGTTCATGAAACAGGGCTGGATTAAATCTCGTTTACCAGGCTAGGTGTCCTTTTGTATTGCCTAGTTCTCTCTCCCTGCTGAAAAACATCAGGAATCTGAGAGTGGAATAGTCTTCATTCGCATAGGTGTCAAGGTGTTGATTGTATATTACTGCTCCTGGCAAATGCACGAGCATACCAACTCTGTTGTTGTAGCAGATAAAAGTATTGCTCATTACACTTTCATTTGCCTCTCTAACTGCCCCTAATATATTAATCAAATGGTGTTTAACTTAGTTACTTACATAGTTACCTCTGTCTGGAGTACAGCCCTGCTGCTACGACCTTTTCTGTGTGAAACTGCTTGAGGAATGGAAAAAAAGGAATAGATGGTCCAGGTTAGAGTTTTCTTTGTGTTGATAATGTTAGAAAATGAATTCAAGGGCTGGAATGAAACGTAGTTCTCCCAAACCTGCAGCCAGTCCTCAGCAAAATGTTTGTATATTACAACTATTTTATGTTGAGTTTAGTGTTCTGCAGGGAATTGTTTTGGATTTTTTTTTGAGTCTTTCTAGCTTTTTGGTGTAGCCTCAATAGTTGCTTGCTCTGCTCTGCTCTCTATATGGTAGGAGTTTGAAGGGATGCAACAGAAGGGGCAAGAAGATGTAGACGGCAGGTCCTTGTGTACCGGGAGCTCCTGCCACACTGGCTGTGCGTGGCCTTTCAGCTCCTCAGCCTCCAAAAAGGCTTGGGGTTTGAGGAGTCAGAAAATTGTGTCTGGTGGCAGGTGGTCCTAATATTGGGCTTAATCCTATAAGCACGTGTTGGTGTGTCCATATGCTATAGGAGTATCACATAACTGTTTCTTTATCTAAGGTATCTGAAAAGTAAACTCTCTTCAGGAGGAAAGAGCAGTGAAGGAGTTAGTGTTGAGGTGACAGGTCTGAGGATGGATAAAGCTTAAAGCTGGTCAGGAATCCTGCCACAATGGCTTTTCATCAGGGTATGTCAATTTGTTGAAACTCCAGCTTTTCATAGAGACAGTCCAGTTTGAATTGGTTTTTACATCGGGGGAAAGTTGCTCAGGACCAGGCTGTTACACAGCTGCGTTCACAGGTGTGAACACCATGTGTGCTCAAACGCAGTTTCCAAGGACTGGGGGATGAGGTGAGGTGCAGAAAACCACAGCTGAAAGCCCTGTGCTAAGTGATATTTATTCATGCAAATAAGTAGCTCCTGTTGAAGAGACAGGCAGAACCAGCCTTCAGCAATGGTAGGTATGGTGAGTCTTCAATGCAATGAACAAACTAACAGAGAGTGGAGGGAAGGGGGAGAGCGGGGCCTGGGACTGGCCCGGCAGGCTGTTGGCACAGACTTGCTCCTAGATGTGTCCCACAGTCCCAAGGGGCTGGTTCCCCTTGAGAGCTCATGGTGGGTGCTTACCACTGAATCAGGCTGTGTTCCCATCTGCACCTGGCCCGAGGAAATAGCTGTGTGTCCTGGTGTCTGGGCTGTGCACCACTGCTGTGGCTGTTCTCGCGCTCCCGGCTTGCTTTTTCTCTCCATGAAAACCCTCAGCTGATACCCCGTTCAGCGACTGAGACTGATGCTTTGCTCACCGCTTTCTCATTGAGACCTCTACCTCTGGCTGTTGCTTTGAGGAACAAATGGTCATTTCTTTGGTTTCTAACACCCAGGAAACACAGGGAGGATTTGATTTTTATGATGCTGATGTATTTTATCCCCAAGACAGCCAAGATTTGGCGTCTAGATACTCATAAAAGCTCATCTGCGTTTTGGGTAAACCCTTCCCCTTCCTGGGTAGATACCAGTCCTTTAAAGGCTTGTGTCTGCTCCCATTGGAAGTGCTGGAAAGTTAGCAGAGGCCGGACTTGTGGAGGCCCCCTCCGCAAGTGAAATGAAAGTAAGTTTCAGGGTGAGGCAGTAGGATTAGGTCCTGCTTCTGCGGCCTCTCTTCCCCTGTGGCTCCTGTTTGGACTGTGATGGGCTCAGTGCAGGTGCACGGCAGCCCGCCTGCGGGCCGGGGCGGTGAGACGCCTCGACCTAGGTTGAGTGGGAGGTGAAGGCTGCAAGAAATGGAAGCCAGGAGCACGGAGACGTGGCAGCCACTGTATTTCCCCTCAGAGGGACAATCGGGTAAGACCGAGCGGTCGATCCAGCAGCTTATCTGTCCCTGGCTTTCCTGTACGTTATGTGTAGGGACTTCAGTCCTGACACCACCTGCTGATTTCTTTTTTCCAGCCGCAGGTACTCGCCCCTGGCAGCGCGGAGCGGGCTGTAACACCTCCCCTTTTTCGTTCCGGAGAGGGGGATAGAGGCACAAACGCGGCGGGGGG